AAGTGTCGTAGTGATGCCTTTATTGGCGGTTTTTGAGAAATCGCCCTTTCAAAAACGATATTTTTTTGGAATTCCGAAAAAAATCCACAAGAGGGCGTAAAATCATTTTTTGTTATTTTTAGATTTGCCACTTATCCCAAGTTTAATGAACGTACAGTTGTGATATATGGCCAAGAGAGAAAAGTATTTGACGAATTATCCAGTAAATTTAGTTGAAATACCAAACCGTTTTTAAATATGTTACATCTACATAGTTGATAAAATTGAAAATTATACGCTATGTTTGGAATTATATATGGCCATGTCAAAACGTGCTGCTACTGTTCTGACATAATGAAATCAAATCTATAATGTATCTGCTTTACTCCTGAAGTGTCGTAGTGATGCCTTTATTGGCGGTTTTTGAGAAATCGCCCTTTCAAAAACGATAATTTTTTGAAATTCCGAAAATAATCCACAAGAGGGCGTCAAATCATTTTTTGGCATTTTTGGATTTGCACAATAATTCCAAGTTTAATGAACATACAGTTTTGATGTATGTCCAAGAAAGAAAAGTGTTTGATGAATTATCCAGTAAATTAAGTTGAAATACCTAACCGTTTTTAAATATGTTACATCTACATAGTTAATAAAATTGAAAATATACGCTATGTTTGGAATTATATATGGCCAAGTCAAAACGTGCTGCTACTGTTTTGATATACTAAAATCGAATCTATAAGGTATCTGCTTTTCTCCGAATGTGTCGTAGTGCTGCCTTTATTGGCGGTTTTTGAGAAATCGCCCTTTCAAAAACGATATTTTTTTGAAATTCCGAAAAAAATCCACAAGAGGGCGTCAAATCATTTTTTGGCATTTTTGGATTTGCACAATAATTCCAAGTTTAATGAACATACAGTTTTGATGTATGTCCAAGAAAGAAAAGTGTTTGATGAATTATCCAGTAAATTAAGTTGATATACTTAACCGTTTTTAAATATGTTACATCTACATAGTTGATAAAATTGAAAATTATACGCTATGTTTGGAATTATATATGGCCAAGTCAAAACGTGCTGCTACTGTTCTGACATAATTAAATCGAATCTATAAGGTATCTGTTTCTCTCCAAATGTGTCGTAATGCTGCCTTTATTGGCGGTTTTCGAGAAATCGCTATTTCAATAACGATAATTTTTTGAAATTTCGAAAATAATCAACAAGAAGGCGAAACCTGATTTTCCGTTATTTCATACTTTCCGCAACTCATTCCAAGTTCAATGGACGTACAGTATATATGTATGTCCAAGAGAAAAAGATGTTTGATAAATTATCTAGGAAATTTAGTTGAAATATCAAACCGTTTTTAAATAAGTGACGTTTGCATTGTTTATAAAAGTTTGAATACACGCTATGTTTGGTATTATATATGGCCAAGTCAAAACGTGCTGCTACTGTTCTGACATAATGAAATCAAATCTATAAGGTATCTATCTGCTTTACTCCGAATGTGTCGTAGTGCTGCCTTTATTGGCGGTTTTTGAGAAATCGCCTTTTCAAAAACGTTATTTTTTTAAAAACTTCGAAAAAAATCCACAAGAGGGCGTCAAATCATTTTTTGGTATTTTAGGATTCGCCGTCTTATTCCAAGTTTAATGAACATACAGTTTTGATGTATGACCAAGAGAGAAAAGTGTTTGATGAATTATCCAGTAAATTAAGTTGAAATACCAAACCGTTTTTAAATATGTCACATCTACATTTTTTAATAAAATTGAAAATATACGCTATGTTTGGAATTATATATGGCCAAGTCAAAACGTGCTGCTACTGTTCTGACTTATTAAAATCGAATCTATAAGGTATCTGCTTCTCTCCAAATGTGTCGTAATGCTGCCTTTATTGGCGGTTTTCGAGAAATCGCTATTTCAATAACGATAATTTTTTGAAATTTTGAAAATAATCCACAAAAGGACGTAAAATGCTTTTTGGTATTTTATACTTTCAACAACTTATTCCAAGTTTAATGAACGTATAGTATATATGTATGTCCAAGAAAAAAAGATGTTTGATAATTTATCTAGTAAATTTAGTTGAAATACCAAACGTTTTTTGAATATGTTACGTCTGCATTGTTCATAACATTTTGAATACACACTATGTTTGGTATCATATATGACCAAGTCAAAACGTGCTGCTACTGTTCTGACATAATGGAATCAAATCTATAAGGTATCTGCTTTTCTCCGAATGTGTCGTAGTGCTGCCTTTATTGGAGGTTTTTGAGAAATCGCCCTTTTAAAAACGATAATTTTTCGAAATTCCGAAAAGAATCCACTAGAGGGCGTTAAATCATTTTTTGGCATTTTAAGATTTGCACACTAATTCCAAGTTTAATGAACGTACAGTTTTGATGTATGACCAAGAGAGAAAAGTGTTTGATGAATTATCCAGTAAATTTATGTGAAATACTTAACCGTTTTTAAATATGTTACATCTACATAGTTGATAAAATTGAAAATTATATGCTATGCTTGGTATCATGTATTGCCAAGTTAAAACGTGCTGCTACTGTTCTGACATATTAAAATCGAATCTATAGGGTTTCTGCTTTTCTTCGAATGTGTCGTAGTGCTGCCTTTATTGGCGGCTTTTGAGAAATCGCCCTTTCAAAAACGATAATTTTGTGAAATTTATCAAAGAATCCACAAGAGGGCGTAATTTTTATTTCGGTATTTTAGACTTTCCTCAACTTATGCTAAGTTTAATGAAGTGCATTATTGTTGTGTGACAAAGAGAAAAATATCTTCTTTGATGAACTATCCAGTAAATTTAGTTGAAATACAAAATCAGTTTCAAATTTGTTGTATATACATTGCTTTAAAAATTGAAGAATATACGCTATGTTTAGTATTATATATGGTCAAGTCAAAACGTGCTGAGACTGTTCTGACATATTGAAATCGAATCTTTGAGGTTTCTACTTTTCACCAATGATGTGGCAATGCTGCCTTTTTGGAGGTTTTCATGAAACGACCATGTTACACGACGGAAATTCAGTCATTTTTAAACATCTCTCAAAGAATTATAAAAAAATTTTGTGCACTGTAACAGTCGCTTTAGCTTGTTTACTATATATTAACAATAAGAGGAGTGTAGTTAATGATTGTTTTGCTTGTTTTGCAATTGCTATTGTGAAACTAATCAAAATATACACTTTCTTTTAAAAATCATTGGGAACATTTAATTTTACGCGTGGGTATTCTCTGCGATTCTGTCAGTCACAATTTCGTGTTTTGCTGCTAGCTTCACAGAGGTGGTACCACCGCATATGTGTACTGGTATCTGGGTACTGAGATATCGTAATAGAGTAGTACCGGTACTGCTGTAGACTAAACAATTCATACGGCTGTAATATTGGTCTGAATTTAGTAGAACGGCCTAGCCAAACACTGAAATAACACCGAATTACGGCACATGTAAACGTAGCTACAGGGAAATGTCAGAACGTGTAGCTGCATAAGTTTGGATTTTATTGTTCAAGCTTTAACTTATGATATACTGAGCTCATGCATCCTGTTTGGTTCAATATTTAAAATAAATTTTAATGATTCAATAAGCACCATTGCTGCATTGAGATTCATGTGCTATTTTTTGTCAATTTCCTGATGTTTGCTATGTAAATACATAGCAGAAGTTTTTATTATTCCAATTATCATTAATTATAAGCTAAATTTCTAGCCTTTAAAGTCAAAAAATTATTTTTTTATTCATGTTAGATTTATATGAGCCCGCAACTATTTCAATATGGAAGTTAACACTGAAGTAGATGTCAATTTTAATACTGGTAAGTATTTTTATTTATTACTTTAATTTTATTACTCAAACTTGTTTATTATAACTCTTGACTTTATATATATTCATTTTTTGTCATTATTTGTAAGTAGCAAAAAATTGTTTTTTTGAGTGCTAAGTGCTTGACGCATGCTAAGTGATAAATAGGCCTACTTAATATTTAAACACTTTTCGAAATCTGAAATTTTTTTTGCTTTTCCAAAATTTTGATTTTAAAATTTCTACGTATTAATTCTAGATCACAACCACGAAAGCCTAAATAGTGCTGGATTAATTAAAGATGGATTCGCCAATGAACTCCACATTAAAAAGATGGATGAGGAAAATAACAATCATCAAACTAACATTGATGAAAAATTACGGTAAACATTACGGTAGTTTTGTGAATTTCTATTCAACTTTGAATTTCATAGTTTTGTTAAAAGTGAATTATTTTGAACATTTTTCATTAACTGATGTTAAAATGAAACCTTGAACTTATCATGATTCACAACATCAAATGATCCAAGTCATATTCTGTTGAATCTAAAATTTGAAAAAATGAAACCTTTTTTATCAGTGTTGCTGCAATACCATCTACAAATGATCGTAGATCAAAACGACTTGAAAAATTTTAAAAAGCAATCCGAAAAAGTGGCAGATCATTGACTCCTGCTAACCAAACAGACCTCCCACCAGCTAAGAGAGTTAAAAGAACCTACCAAAAGTTGAATTGAGGGAGCCTACGAAAGTCGAAGGTAATAATGAGAAACTGTAAAACGTAATTGTTCACCTGGGTCAGGGTTTCTCAAACTGGGGGTCCGTGATGACTGCACAAGGTGTCCGTAACGATATGAAAAGAGTCTCAAATATACACAAATGGAGCTTAATCTTATTGAATTTCTTCAGCCTGCCAGTATTTAACGTTGGTATGTATTAATTGAGACTCAAAAGTTTTATTTCATCAAAGGAAACAACATACTTTCTCGTTTGTTAGACACATAAATTGATATAGGATGGGGGTTCATCAAAAACAAGATTCACAAACAGGGGACCGCAGTTTAAAAAGTTTGAGAAACACTGCTCTAATATGTAGGGAATTACTTCTTTATAATTGGTTCAATTAGCGAACAAAAATCTAATTTTTTTCTCATATATTTTGTATCAGAATCAAATTTCAAACTGACAATAGAATGGGCCTACGTCAACACCAACCATCTCCCGTAAGTATAATTGTCTAAAAACCTTTTTTTTTATCCATATGGCTATGCTTGATATCTCCTTCGAATGACTTAGTATATCAAACCAAGTTGGTACAAGTTTGTCAAGCATTGCTCTTTTGTTATTGGTATGAGGTTATAGTCTAGTTTCAAGTTGTAGAATATTGACATGGCAATGGTAAATGACTCAATCAGAATACATATCTACGTAGTTCGAAAATATCAGTAATAAAATCTGTAACAATAGCCATGCACATGTATCATAATATAAGTCAGTTTTGACTTTATCTCAAAATGGTATTCAGCAAGTAATGGAATATTTTAGAAGATTTCATTTTTCGATAGGATGCATATATTAATAATTCTAAGAAGGTCTAAACCAGAACATTACACACTGCACGGTGCAGTAATTTAGTTAATAACTGTCATACTGTCTCTACAGTCTCTAATTGTTTTCACCAAACTGTTCTAAACCTTTTTCCTATTCATAACTATTTATTTTTCCCATACAGAGTAAAAAGACTGTTGTGGAATCTTTTAACCTGTCGTCAGATAGAAAACGTGAACTTGAACCTTCGACATCATCAAAAGGATACGAATTTACATCAATGGCAAAAGCAGAAATTCGCAAAGGTGATTGAACCTAATAACTTAAACACTTTTCGAAATCTGTATCACAATATAAGTCAGTTTTGACTATATAACTTCGCGGAGTAGAGTGTGATGATTCTGTAGTTCCTACTTAAAACTCCAGTTAGAAAACGCTGTTTTTAAAGCATGAACATATTTCATAGAGAATAATTCGAGATATAATTTCTGTAAAATAGCAAAATGTCACTTTATTATCAGTATTGATTTTATTGAAGTAAGGAATGATGCGGAGTAGTTATCAGTACAGAAGTGATGTAAGCAAGTCTGATCCCATTTTTTAAGCTTTGTGCTTCTAGGTTTGGATGGTATTGCCAGGCGTACTGTACAATGATGAGTTCTGTGTGAAATTCTATAATTTACAGAAATACTCTCATCATTGGAAAAATTATTTAATTTTAGTTAACTGGGGTATAAATACCTTTTGGAACATGATTGTTGAGGATGATTGATAGTTATCTCTTTTATTCTCATTTATTTATTTTTGCTAGGTGAGGACATACAGTCAATTACCCTTTTTTCTGTATAAAAAGGCGTGGTTTATAGTGTTGCCACATATTGCCTGTTATTGACACTTCGTGCGCAATTAACTTTGTGCATATTCTGGCAACCTGTTGTTACGACAGTCTCTTGGTTCATCAGTATTTGGTGAAAGAGCATGTTTTTTTGTATCGTAGATTTAGTGTTAACTTAATAAGGAAATTAGGATTGTATTTCATGCAGAGATGTGTCAGGATAGGGGTTAAGTTATAGGTTTATACTTTAATCTGTTTTATTGTGTATTCAGTTATATCTGTGTATCTGATCAATTAGGGTTTGGAAGCATTGCAGTCCAAACTATTTTAAATCACTTAACCTCACACCAGTGGCCACAAACGTGCTCATACAGTTGAGTGGACGAAATAAAGCAAGTGCGTTTCGTTACTGTGTCTGGTTTTGTGCATGAGAAATTCAGCGGCTGTCAGGTTCAGCGCATCCATACCGTAAAAGCAGGTAACTTCGGATAGGTTTGTAACTTCGGAGGAAATTTCTAATCGTTTATATCTCGACTAAATTGCGGCATATTGTGCTTATGGCAGTTTCTATAGTGAGGACTTATATATCTAAATCTGTTATCATATTCAATCGCGCAGTTTAATTTATTTTTTGATTAAAAAAATCATGTTTTAGCATAAAATTGACACTCCGTTTTCGAGCGGCTCAAATCGTGACTTCTACTGATGCTAACTTCGTCAAAATAGCGTCATTCGATAGAGGGCGTTATCAATGTATATAGAAAATTAGACTGATCGCGAGATGTCGTAGGAGACCTGATAAAAAAATAAAAATTTGAATAATTTTTCTTATCAATCACAATGATAGCATCTGACGCACACGTTATGTTACGTCGCCGTTACAGATTTGGAGCAAGACATTCGGGCGCCGACGAGTTGGCGTAGATTTGAAAATAACAACGATATTTTGTTCGATTGATCAATATCGGCGAAATATACGCATCAACAATTTTCTGTGGATCGTAAATTCATGGCGTCAAATGCTGGAAATGTAATTCAATTAAATTTAATAAAAATGGCAATTAATGAAAAGCATATCCATTCGATTTGACGATTTCAAATTTGTCCATTTGGTACGGCAACATTGTTCAAAATAGAAATATTGTGAGTAGTCGAGAAATATTGCGTAAATATAAAAATATATAACCAGCGATAAATACCACCAATCATTGTTGCAAGTGAGTCCCGTTTCGTGAATTTACTGAAAGTAATTTTAATAAAGTTGCCAATTGCCAAATCGGTGTTTTGTCGTGATTATGCACGGCCGACATTTAAATAGTTCAATTTAATAAAGAATCCGGTCATGTGCAACATAGTTTGTTCCTCTAGTGACATATTAAAAGAATTAACTGAACATTTACCAGACTGGTTTGGTTCCAAGTGGTCAATCCACACATCAACTGCTGCTTCTTGTGGTATAAGCATTCTATTTGCAGGAGACTGGCGTTTGTTAGTTTGTGCTGTCGGGAAGTGAAATTCTTTGGTCTTTTCTGAATCCTTTGTCACTTGACTCTTGGTCTGGACAAAAAAGCTCAGCGCTGCACTTTGTCTGCGTGTTGACTCCAACGGATATTCAATATCGACGCCACGGCAGTTATCTTTAGGCATAATTTTGGTAGCGGATTCTGTCTTTCCTTGTTCAATTTCACGCATAAGTTCGTCAGCTTGGCGACGTGTTAGATCTGCCATTCGTTCTTTTTCGTTTATGTCTCGACGTTTGATAGAGGCGATGCTCCAGTGCTGATATTTTATTGCGAATAGAATCTTCTTCTGTGAGAAAGTCTCGTTTAGCCACGCGTACAAGAGAATCAGCTCTTTCTACCTCTCGTTCTTGCTCAAGTTGCAATCGCTTCAGTGATTCAACACTGCACTTGCTTGCGTCTGATTCGACAGACCCGTGATCAGAAACGATCTCCTCGTCAAGATAAGAATTAAGTTTACTTTCAATTTGTTCGATTTTCGATGACATTCTTTGCATACCAGATTCATATTTCTTCAGAACATTTGGATTACGAGTAGTCGGAATGAGTTTTTCCATCACTTGATCATAAGCAATTCGTTTAACATGAGGCTGAATTTATGAATCAGTGGCGATAGAATTCTGAGCATTTTCATAAATCGATTTATAAATGTTGTCGCACAAACCATTTTGTTCATTTTGTAGTCGGACTCTTTCGTGGCATAATACATTGCGTCCAGTAGTTTCAGAGTTACCGTCGTCTGTTTCTGCGAAACATAACATAAATCAAACTTACATTCTAATGGCCTGAATTATGATAAATGGACCATCAACAAAAGTTTTTTTGTAGAAGCGATCACTAAACTCGGGAGATTGTGGTACGGTTAGTTCTTTATCACTAGGCAGTATCAGAACTGGTTTATATTTCCTAATAGGATTTGCTCGACGCTTAGCTTTTTTTCTTTCTCTTTCATATATTTCTTCTTCGATTCTCTCTTCATCTAAAATTGTGAGATAAAAATCCCAGAAATACCTTATACATTGGTTGGTAAGGTCTATCTCTCCTGTGCCGGTTTAGAAATTGATACTAGGGGTTTCCAGGTTTGTCCATTTATGTGTTCCAATGTTTGCATATGAACTTTTCATTTGCTTTGTTGTTGTATGTTTGTTTTGGATTTGCTCGACGCTTAAACAGACCTACCTGATTTCATTCACTGAACGCATCATGGCTTGAAACGAGTCATTCACGAATTGCCGTGCTTCCTCTGGCATCTTTTGACCTGTTTCTTTTAATTCCGATTTCATTCACCGAACGCATCATGGCTTGAAACGAGTCATTCACGAATTGCCGTGCTTTCTCTGGCTTCTTTTGACCTGTTTCTTTTAATGCTGATTTCATTCACCGAACGCATCATGGCTTGAAACGAGTCATTCACGAATTGCCGTGCTTCCTCTGGCTTCTTTTGACCTGTTTCTTTTAATTCTGATTTCATTCACCGAACGCATCATGGCTTGAAACGAGTCATTCACGAATTGCCGTGCTTCCTCTGGCTTCTTTTGACCTGTTTCTTTTAATTCTGATTTCATTCACTGAACGCATCATGGCTTGAAAGGAGTCATTCACGAATTGCCGTGCTTCCTCTGGCTTCTTTTGACCTGTTTCTTTTAATTCTGATTTCATTACCTGTATGCATCATGGCCCAGAAGGTGTTATTTACAAATCTTCGTGCTTCCTCTGGCTTCCTTTCCTCTGGCCGTAATTCAGAAAATGGCCAAATTGACCTAAGATTGACATCTTTGATAATTCCAAGAATCTTTCCGCCAGTGGCTTGTAGTTGCCTGAAAGTAAAGAGTAATATATAGTAAAAAACAAGAGTATAACCAGCTAAAATGTGGTTAGTAATATTGTGTTTTAGCGTGGTTTACGCAGTTTGCAATAAACTTCGTTTTGGATATGAAATCTGAACTAATAATACACACTATGATGTGAAGACATTATCGAAGTTTTATAATAATACACTGAAAGCTTAATTGATCAGTAAACAACAACAGAAAATAATATCAAATCTAACTTCTTGACTTAAACACTCACCCACGAGTTGTTGACCAAGGCAACACCAAATTTGAATCTTTAATTTTCAAAATACCAAGCTCAAGAGACTGATCCATGATCCATTGCTGTAATTACCCTGACTAGAGAAAGCAAGTAAGTTAGTACATTTGCATTAGACTGTTAGACTCAATTTTAGTGTGTTACCCAAGTTAGGACATTGCTTACGCTTGACAACACTTTCTCATTTCAGACCTTTGCCCCACTTATTAAAATGTTGCCCCATCCAACGTTTTGATTAAGCATTTAATAAAGTACCAATCATAATTCCAATTTTGTCTGAACAATTTTGTGTTTGAGCAATTCCATGTAAAGTGTAAATAAATAGAGTCTAAGAGTGCTCAATTAGATAGATAGAAATATATTTATTTCGAAAACTCCATAACAAACATAAATTAAAAATGGAGAAACCTGGAGGGCAAGCAAAACCTATAAAAGAGTTTAAAACATGAGAAGTATCTCATGTGCCTGCCCACCCGCACGCACACAAAAACACAAGCCCAATTAAATGAGGCTTGGGCTAAACTTAACAAATAAAATACACTTTCGGGCTGTTGTACTTTTAACAATTACGTTGATGATGACCAATACCTACAACCTCATGCAAAGATAATGCGGGAAGTGGAATGTAATAAATTTGCGACGATAGTCATACTCATGAAGCCATGAAAGCTTTGGGAAAAACCAAGCCACGAAAAACTACACTGACTTTTTTGTGCACCCTTCTCTTTTGCATTTAGTGAATCCTGTTGTGTTGTTAGTTTTTGATATTGGTCTCAATTTGGCGCGCACTAGCAAGTTTCTAAGAGTCGGGCATTTCCTATAACCTATTATTGGGGAATTCGGGAATAACTTTTGCAGTCTGGTGTCACGGTGTGAGATATACTGGTATTTCTGGAAAATTTTCCTAATTGGTGGGAGAAATGGGTGGTATGTGGTTACAAGCGGTGCTTGGTCTTTTCGCTTTTTAGGCACTTTTGGTACGAGTATTTCTTTCCTGTCTGTTTTTCTCGCCCGGTCGATGGCTTTATCTAATAAGTGTTCGGGATAATTCCTTTTTATCAAATGTTGTTTGAGGTTTTCACTATGTTTGTTAAAAAAGTCCAGATTTTAGCAGATTCTTCTGATTGCAAGACCGTGGGGAATGTTCCGGTGTATGTGCTTCGGATGGCAAGATTACGGCAAAAGGTACTGATGGCTGTCTGTTGGTTTCGAGTAGAGTTCCGTTTCGAGTTTGTTGTCTATTATATGGACCATTGTATCCAGAAACACATATTGTAAGGGCAGGAAGCCTATGAATCTCAATAGCTCTAGTTCAACAGTCTCAGATGTTGTTGAGCAGAGTTTTTCTGCATTGGCTCCAATGCTTTTCTGCATTGGCTGTTGGCTCCAATCATACTTGCTCTTGTGTTTTGCTTTGAAATGGCTCTACAAATTATACCCATCTTTTTTTTTTTAAATTGGATGAACCTTTCGACTTAATAATGATAAGCATATCCTACAGACCTACAAATTACTCCATCATTATGGCACACGAAGTATTGCCATACTTCGCTCTGACCGCTAGAAGCAGCCATCTTTTGCATATCAATACAAGAAGTTAAATCGCGCCTTGAACGACCAAAGCGCAAGGGTAATCCAAGGCCGTGGAAAGTGGAAACGGCGAGAATTGTTTATTAATCTACGTATATTATTTTACACAAATAAGTCGTTCAAATGTTTCTCTCGTTTCAATTAGCCACCAAGCTCGCTTACAAAGTGTTAAATCCCGTGCCATACGTCGGTTTTGGATAAGCGAAACATAGTCAAAAGAATTCTTTATTAACCAACGTAAATTATTTGACACAAATAAGTGGCTCACGCGTTTCTCTCGCTTCAATTTGCAAGCCATCACGCTCGCAAACTCGCTTACGAAGTGTTAATAAATCCCGTGCCGCCGTACGTCCGTTTCGGATAAGAGAAACTTAGTCAAAAGAATTCTTTATTAAGTATATTATTTGACACAAATAAGAGGCTCACGCGTTTCTCTCGCTTCAATTTGCAAGCCACCACGCTCGCAAACTCGCTTACAAAGTGTTAAATCCCGTGCCATACGTCTGTTTTGGATAAGAGAAACTTAGTCAAAAGAACAGTTGAACAACCGTTAAACCGAACCGGTTAGTTCGTTGACTTTTGTGTGTATGCTTTTTTAAATATTGTCGCTCATAAAATGTACTTTTGTGTGTATGCTTTTTTAATAATTGTCGCTCATAAAATGTACTTTTGTGTGTATGCTTTTTTAATAATTGTCGCTCATAAAATGTACTTTTGTGTGTATGCTTTTTTAATAATTGTCGCTCATAAAATGTACTTTTGTGTGTATGCTTTTTTAATAATTGTCGCTCATAAAATGTACTTTTGTGTGTATGCTTTTTTAATAATTGTCGCTCATAAAATGTACTTTTGTGTGTATGCTTTTTTAATAATTGTCGCTCATAAAATATCTGACGGAACCGCATTAAAAGCGAAACTGGGTATTTTTTTTTAACGATAGCTTGTATTCTAAGCCCTTCCACAATCACTAACTAATAATTCATTTCATTTCCATCATAACAGGTAGAGGAAGAAGAGAAAACATTGAGAAAAAAGGTTGAATTCAAAGCAAATAAAGTAATTCAGGGAAAACCATTCAAACCAGCTATTGAAAATAAGAAACACACAGGTTGATAGCTATTCTGTTCTTTATTTATTTCTTTGATGAATACAAATATACCATGTAACTGTAGGGATGTTCAAATCCTAATTGAATACCATTTGAAATTTAATATTGCAATTTTACAATTAATAGGCAGAAATAGCCTCACTTTCACAACAAAATCATGTTATTCTGAACAATTTTACCTAAACCATAATTTATCTGCGTTATCTTCAACATTTGTTCAAGCTATCATGCTTAAGTTAAATTTTTTCTTCCCCCCCTTTTTTTGACATGAATTTTGGATCGTAGCAGAATTGCTGGTGGTTGTTGTTACTGTGACAAATCACTAATTGACTAATGAGCAAATCGATTTCAATTTTTCAATATTTAAAATGAAAGGAAGTCTACAGATATCTGGGCGCTTTTACACCCAACTTTCGTTGTTTTTGATATGAGTATCGTCACATGGCATTCCGCCAGTCTAGTATGTCATCTTTTTGACAAAATCTGTGTTCAGTTACCGGTACTGGTGCGTATGTGGTGAGACTTCAATTGAATGATCAAACAGTAGATTTGTGTGTAGGTTGCTGATGTGTTTATTCATTCAAGTCAGGTGTGTGCAACCTTTAATACAAGAAGGCCAAATACAAATAACTAAGTGAAACTGTGGGCCGTACCTCTACTTAGCATAGGCTTTCTAAAAGCTGTGGATACAAAAACTTTGTTTATTGATGAGTTTGCTAATAGGGCTAGTAATTAGCTAATAATGAATTAGACTCTGGTATAGGTTTTGCAGCGCAAAGGTATTGGAATTACTCGCAAGTACCAGATTGAACCAAAATAAAAAATTGTTTCACTGGCTGCCATTCGAAATTGGCACCTTTTCGCGGGTCGCATAATTTTTCCTTGTGGGCCGCAGGTTGCTCTGATTTAAGTGTTTATATATTTGAGCATTGCTTCTTCTTTTTTATCAGAAACTCAGGAATTTTCTCTTAACACTGAACGACGTGCTGTGGAACGAAAGGAATTCGATGAATTGTTGAAACAGAAGGAGATTGAAATCCAAGTCAGGAACGAAACAGTGAAAATATATCCATCCATCTATTGGCTCACTTTATTTTCCTATTTTCCTGCCTATTTTCATATTGTCCTATTTCTATTGTTGTGTTCTATTTGTAGATATTGATGCCTATTCTTTTATTATACTTTCGTAAATGCACATTCCTTAAGTATAATGGATGCATCTGGAAATGCCCATATCTTGGCTATTTTGGGATTCATCTTTGCTATTCAGTGTGTTCCTAAATATTCTAAAATTTTTCGCTATAGTAGAAAACTGAAAACCAGGATCTCAGACCACATCAGGGATATCCGAAAAAAGGCCCCAACACCAGTTGCAAATCACTTCACCAACTGAGTTATACAGGAAAAACAAAGAACACTTTTGGATCAACAAACTAGGAACCCGGCAACCACAAGGAATCAACATAAAATACTGAAACGCAAACGTTGGAACACATATAAATGGACAAACCTGGAAACCTCTTCTGATACTTCCTAAAGAATATCACAATATCCTGAGTCAAAAGTCAATTTATCTCCCTATACTCTCGTGAATGACTCGTTTCAAGCCATGATGCGTTCGGTGAATGAAATAAGAGGCTGCCTGCAGATTTCTCATTGCTATGATTGCGTGTGAATAAAAAGTTGGGAGATAGATAAGAATTGTTTTTTTTTCATATCTGCTTGTAGCAAGAGAAAGCGTTTTGTTAAATAGATTGTAAATATTCTTTCGATACAGTCAATCCATAAAGGTATTACAAGATGTAGTGGAATGATGTAGAATCCCCCTAACATTTAAACCAATTCAGAAAGCTAATAACGTTTATATTCATTGCGTTGGTTAGACCCGAATATACATAGTTTGAAGTAAAACACTTTTACTATAAATAAGCCCGACAGCAACCATTCAGTCTATAAGATACAGGGACCTCCTGAAAATTCTGCTCTAATCAAGTTAATGACTTGAACTCTGAATAAATAAAACAACGCTGAATAGGCGAGTGAAAACTGTGCGTCACTCGCGAAAGAAAGACTTTATGGGTAAAGCAATCATGCAAACGTATCGTACTCAACATTGAGTTTCTCAAACTTTTCAAGCCGCGTCCCCTTCTTAAAATTTATTTAGTCTCGCGCCCCACCTCAGAAAAAAAGTAGTTAACATTAAGCTACAGATAACGAATAGTAAGGCGAAAACATGTTTTATTCAAAAGATACGTTGACAATACGTGTACATAATAAAGAAATATTTTAAACCATGAATAAATGGTCCTTATTGTAGTTCTGGTATTAGTTCGAGGACTAGCCAAGTGGCTCCTGTAGTATTTGTATCTGAAATTATGGCCTAACCCTAACCTGGTACGCATACTACGTTCCTGTGTCCGTCATCTTATTTCACATACTTTGGAAGTGCCGGAATTCCTTTGTCTAACAACACTATTTCAAAAAAATTCAAACTTGTTTAAATGCTGGAACGTATCGGCCAATTGCATGCATCAGTTTTCGTCATTTATTGCAGCCACAAAAATATATTTTCCTCACAGCTCTACAAACTCTTCCATTTCTCTTTTCAGTTTCAAAAACCTTCATTTTATACAGCAGTGGTCGGCAACCTTTTGTCGCTCGCGGGTCAAAATTAGGTTGCAAGTCTTCGCAGGCTGCACATATTTTTTAGGAAGTTGAAACCGAACGGTAGACGATGAATCAGAATTTTTCACACGGATCAGAAGTTGGAATTTTAGATTTTGAACAGCGCGCGAGATTGTGACAACTCGTGAACTCAACTCAGTCGTCATACTAAAATAATAAATATTAAAAATGACATTCAAGAATGTGACACCTGTTGCATCACGCTTGATAGCTTTTCGAAATCAAACGGCACACTGGATAAAGCCAAGATTAGAATATTTTCTAAATGGGAATCACTCATCCTAGATTGTTCTTTGTAATGTTCATTTTCGGGAATAATTATTCACATGCATATGAACTTCTAAACAGCGATGTGAATTTTTTCGCATGGTTTGTCAAATTTGGATAATATATCCTTCAATGAGATACTTTATATAAAAATCAAGCAGTGAAACATCGATCGGATGGAATATGGATTTTATTTCCTTGTTTCATTGCTTCTCAAGAAGCTTTTTTGCTTTTTGCCATTTGTCTAAATATAACTAAGTTGTAGGCTCGTTAAACGAGTAGCTGTTCACTAAATTATCAGGTTAAAATTTAATCTACACATGTCTCACAACAACTTTTCAATTACGTGAAGAATATAATTAATTCCGCGAGCTTTATTAAATTACTTCATCGTCCAAACCGCCATTTTGTCGCTTTGATCCACTGAACGGGCCGGATTATTTTACTCCGCGGGCCGTATGTTGCCGACCCCTGCTCTATGGGTACGATAGTCTACGCTACGGCACTTTTACTTCAAACGATTTAATAATACAGTTATAACTCGGATCATTTGGTATTTCATTAATAGGGATGGCGGAATCGAGTGTGTATTCGATTACAGAATCGATTATCCGCGGAATCGACTAGAATCGATTCCGATGCATAGAAATCGATTCTCAAGCTAAGCTAATACTTGGGTTGCAAACAATGTGTAACGTTTTGTGGCAAGTCTTTCACATATTTGTGTCAACTGCTTTACTGCTATATTGAGTTGCTATGACGCCGCAAACTAAACTATATGTATTTTTTTTTGCTAGAGGGCTGTTACGTTTATTTATATCTCTGTTGGTTCTGATGAATTCGTTTGTTTTTTGTGCGATTGTGTATACTGTGACAGAATAAATACCCATACTACTTAGTTTTGACCTTCTTGAGCGCTCATCGCTCTCTTGTTTAATTTCACGTGTTATTGTTAAGTGGGTATGTTTTTCCCGGTAAAATATGCCGAGGAATCGAGATTCGGAATCGAAAACTTACCATACATAATTGTTACTTTATATTATAATTTAGTCCACATGTGTCTTCCAATAAATTCTGTTACGTAAAGAATATAATCGTCAAAACAGCTGTTTTGACAATTATATTACATTAACAGTCAAATGCCATTCAAACAATGGAAGTGCTGACTTTTTATAATAGTGTTTGCGAGTACAATAACGGTCAAATGCCATTTAAAAAGGGAACGTCTGCCACTTTTTAACAATGTGCACTGATTTAAAATGGGGATAAATACTGGTAATGATAGTTAACGATTAACGTATAAAAGAATGTTTAATCGGTTTACCGTTGTTAGATAGTGAAAGATTACAAATAGGGCCATAATCGAATGTGTGAAATGGCTAACAACATGTCACCTCTTATTTCCGATAAATAAAGGTAGACCCGTTTTCATTGGGAGAGTCTGTCATAAATGTACAATCACCGAATAAAAATCAATTCGCATATTTTAAGCGGTTGACCGTTTTTTTTCATGAAACAGCGCGAAATAACTCAGAAATACCGTTAACAAGTCGGTCGCTTACGTGATAAAAAATAGCCCGAAGACTTAACCTCTGTGTGTGGGCTTTATACCACACGATTATCCTTACCGTTTAATATTTAACCGTTGTTGTATGGTTAACGGTTCCCAAACAACCGTGATTGATTAATCAGTAGTACTTTATTTCCAATTCTCGTCTTCCAAATTATTCAGAAGTAAACTTCACAAGAACCTCTACGTTCTAGGTTACTGCGGATTCCAATTTCAATGAATTCCCCGAAGTATATTGGGTGGAATGAAATAGATAAAACTATGCCTCTCTTATAGCTGGTTATTAATTTATCATAAGAACAAAATCCTAAATTTACAAATAATTATTAATCGAATATGAAATAATTCTGTATTATCAGGAAATTCTATAAATATATCAAGTCGCGGAAATCAATTTGTAAAGAATAATTGTAACGAAAATATTTATTTTTAAAATGAACAGGATTTTCGAATTTATTTTGGCATAAATTATTTGCATGGATAAGACAAACTGATGCTGAACTTTGAACTCAAACACTGAAAACCAGGTCTTCAATCCACGGTCTGTATTTTTAAAGATCTCTCTTGAAGTGTTTGATTTAAAAATTTCTGAAGTCTGTTCTGTTCTGAAATCTAATTTCAGGTTTTTTGTTTGCATAAGAGCAAGCGTCATTTATATATATATCTAAGTTATTTTGTTGAATAAATATTAAAAAGTTGTAAATTGTTCTGAACTGAAACGGGGCCTGTTTATGAAGTTAAGAATTAGAGGCGCAGACGACATGGGTGGTCGACAGGGTGGAAGACCCTGTATCACAAAAGCGATAACTAAATGCGAGAAAAATGGAAATAATAAAAATATACCCCATTACCCCAGAAAGGAACGATAAAATGAATTTCGAAGTGAAAAATAAATATTGGCCTCGAAAAAAAATGTGATTATATGTTTTGAAATTATTGAATTGGCAAAAGCGCGTCTGCACAGTCTGCAGAAAAATACAGATCATAGTTACATATATACAGCGCAGTGTATTAAGATCACATAGAAAGTACACATATAATATACAACACATTACGACGCCGCGTTTCGAACAGCTCATAATCGCGACACGCTAGCCCGCACATTATCGCTACCTTCACATTTGAGCCTCTTAACTAATCGTTTTGATCTCTGATATATCTTGATTACTCCAAAACAAATGGAAAGGTAATCTTTTCGTTTGGTAAATACCAAAATTAAATCGCTAAAAGTTGCACGGTGCTGTGTCGTATTGGACTAAGCGCTGACAAGTTGCGCCGAACATTACAGGTTCGACTCCAACATGTGGGGGATCTCGAGAGTCCGTGGATTCGTAGTAATTGAAGTTATCTTCGTATAAAAGTTCAGCGCTTCGTGAGATAAATACTCGGATTACATCTCTGTGTTTGAGATGGTGCGGGGGTGCACTGGGTTAGGCATGACAAGATTGCTCCGAAGACTAGAGGGTTCGAATCCACCAAGCGATAGCTCTTCACGTAAGGCGCAAAGATAATACGTCAAGATGACAAAGGCTCAATGTAAGATATCGTTCGCCTCGTAACATACTTCACGCAGGCAGAGAGAGTGCGCCAAGAGAACAGAGGCACGCTGTAAAATATCGTTCGACTCGAAACATAAAATCCTCCTGGCCTTTTATTGTTTCTAATATTATCAAATATTTCACAAAAGACCACCCGTTGCGTCCATCGCACTGACTCTTGCAGAATCATTGGGGTTTGGGGAGTCACATTTGAATGGCAACTACCCCGAGTTCCGTACATCGCCGCCCCCTCTCGGACAACGAGACAAGTCTCGTAGGTCAAAGTAGAGGACGCCTTCATCGGAAAATCGGACCTGGGTTCGAACCCAGTTCCAGGAGAACACCT